TTCCGTTTTCAGTCCGATTTCTTAAGAATCTTAACCGAATTTGACTGTGTAATCCGGGAGAGGTAGGGGTGTTTTGGTCCTATGGGACATCCTTTGAATTTGAAACCTGGCAGAGGCAGGGTTGTTTTGGTAAAATAAAAAAAAAAGGGTTGTTTTGGTACTTTGGGACATGCGTTAACATTGGAACGATGCAGAGAAAGAAGATTCGCATGGCCCCTGTGCAAGGATGACCCACATAAATCGAGAAATGGTCCAAACGAAAGGAAAAAAACTTAAAAAAAGAAAAAAAAACATTAAAAAAAAAGAGGATTTGAAGGGTTTTCCCAGTTTTCCCTTGGTTTTGTCCTGTAACCAGGACCACTATCGTCAGGGTAGAATTCCATTACATTGATGCTTTTCCTTGGGTCTAAAAAGTCTCTGAAATAATCCAAGGCTTGTAATCTGCTACCTTAAGTTTTTTTTTCCACCCTTAGCGCGACGGATTTAATTGTTTTATTCTCCCGGTGAGTATTGAGGATCTCCCATTCGTGGTCAGATCGCCCTGAGACTCGAAAGGATATAAATCTCACGCTGTAGCCGCCCACTGGTAGCCTCTGTTTCAACTCCAAAGCGATATGCCCTGACCGTCCTGGTCTGCAGGCCCCGATCACTGGGTTCCCATGTAAAGTCCTCGCTGGGGAGGGATGTCGAAGCCTCCAAGGTAGCATTATGTTGAGGTCATCACAATCCTCTTTTTGTTTTTGAATTTGGACCATTTCTCGACATATGCGTGTCATCCTTGTGCAGGGGCGATGTTAATCTTCTCTCTGTTGTTCCAAATTTAATGGATGTCCTGAAGGACCATCACAATTTGTGTTATAAATGGGCCGCCTGGGTCATCTTGTTTGCCCGGGCCGCCCGGCCGGGCAAGTACCAGGGAAGGTCCCTGTAAAAGGAAAAAAAGAAGAGAAAAAAAAACGAATTCCAAAAATCCGAAAAAAAAAGAAGAAAATTTTGCAGAACAATAAAGTTGAATAAACAGAACAACTTTTGCCTCAGGGTCGGAGCGAAATTCTTTGCGGAATAAAATAAAATAAAATAAAATAATTAAAATTAAACAAATATATATTTTTTATATTTATTTTTTTAATTAAAAATTTAATTCATTTTTGGCCCGGCTGTGCAAGTGGTCCCGGACCACTCTGGTAACAAACATAGATCACAATCCCATTCTTCTTTTTTTCCCCTTCCTCCTTTTTTTTTTTCTTTTTTTTTTTATGTGGTCCGATGGACCACGGATCAGATATTAAACTGATCAGATAACAGATACACTACACTTGATCTTAGCCAAAAGGCCGAGAAAGGTATTTTTTTCCTAGCAAGATTCTCACGCCCGGCCGGTCCTGCCCGGCCGGGCACCCGGGCGTGATGCCCGGGGGGGTCTGACGCCCGGGGTACCCGGGCGTGCAAAAAAAATATATATAAACTCCGACGAAACAGTTTGTCACAGCCCCTCGTTTGTTGTCCTCTTCTCTCTCTCTGCCTACGGTTTACCGGGCAGTTCTGTTTGTGACGATATATATATATATATGACGATATATATATATATATATGAGGGTTCAGCCTCCTGATGAGTTGGTGAAACTCCGACGAAACAGTTTGTCACAGCCCCTCGTTTGTTGTCCTCTTCTCCCTCTCTGCCTACGTTTTTTTTTTACCGGGCAGTTCTATTTGACGATATATATATTTGTGACGATATATTGTGAATGTCACAGCCCCTCGTTTGTTTTCCTCTTCTCCCTCTCTGCCTACGGTTTACCGGGCAGTTCTATTTGACGATATATATATAGGTGTTCTCCTGGCGATTGGATCATTCATTCATCTCGGCGCCTCCACCCGACTTGACAAAATAGGCGAACACGAAACAGATTGACGTTCGGATCTGTGAGGGGGGTATAAATTGGTTTTAAAGGGGCTAAAGGGGTCTAAAGGGGGGTGCCTTTGTGTGATTCTGTTATTTTCTTTTTTATCTCCGATTCTGTCAGGAATCATAATGTGACCCTCAGCCAAAAGTTGTTTGCATTTCAATCCTACACAACATATATTTTTTTTTCGGAATTTTTTGAGTTTTTTTTTTTTTTTTTTTTTTTGGCGCTGGGGCTGCCCGGAACCCTGCCCGGGGGTCATGCCCGGCCGGGCACCCGGGGTGTACCCGGGAAGAAGTTGGGTACCCGGGCGCCCAGGAAAACGGCCTAGTTTTTTTCCCCTTCCTCTTTTTTTCTTCTTCAATTTGGAGAATTTTGGACCATTTCTCCATTTATGTATGTCATCCTTGTGCAGGGGCCAATGCTAAACTTCGCTTTTCCTCTGTATCGTTCCAATTTTGATGGATGTCCTGAAGGACCATTACAAAATCCAATTTTTTTCTTTTTCTTTCTTTTTTTCGGAGAATTTTGGACCATTTCTCGATTTATGCGACTCATCCTTCTCTGCAGGGCCCATGCTAATCTTCTCTGTCTCTTTCCAATTTTAATGTATGTCCTGCGTGACATCACAGTCCAGTTCTTTTTTTCTTTTTCTTTTTCTTTTTCGTTTTCTTTTTCTTTTTCGTGTTCTTTTTCCATCACAGTCCAGTTCTAACTTCTAACTTTCTGTATATTGTTTTTATTCTACTCTTATTCTACTGGTTGACAGCACCAGACTCGATTGAATGTCTGACTGGAGTTGGTGGTTAGTTGGTGACCTTTTTTTTTTTTTTCTGTGCTCTTATTTGGATGGTGTACTCTTGTTTTGTATGTTGATGGGGAACGCAGGTCGAGGCTATTGCGCTTGAGTCTGCGGGAGAGGGATACCTTTCAAGCATTCAAGCCTTGAATTTGAGGCCAGATTCAGAGGTTTGTCAATTATGCTATGGGACTGCATGGTTACCGTCCGGACGTCCGGGTCGCATTCCGGACCGTCCGCGTCTGGATGTCCGGTCCAGTAGGTCCGGAATTTAAAAAACAAACAAAAAAAATGTTCCATGTATGGCCCAACCCCCCCAAAAAATGTTTTGGGATTTAAATTTTTTTGACTATTTTCCAGCCCTTTCAGAGAGCCAAAGAGGGCCAGGCTGAGGCTGATTCCGATGTGTGTGTGTGTGTGTGTGTGTGTGTGTGTGTGTGTGAGAGAGAGAGAGAGAGAGAGAGAGAGAGAGAGAGAGAGAGAGAGAGAGAGAGAGAGANCACACACACACACACACACACAGAGAGAGAGAGAGAGAGAGAGAGAGAGAGAGAGAGAGAGAGAGAGAGAGAGAGAGAGAGAGAGAGAGAGAAGTGCACAGGCTGGATACTGCCTTGAGGTAGGTAGGGCCCAATTCACTCCCTGTCTATAAACCTTCTTTAACGTTTTCTTTTTTCCTTCTTCTTCTTCTTCTTCTTCTTCTTCTTCTTCTTCTTCTTTGTCTGGAATTTTCTGGCCGGACCTCATGTTCTGTCTGGGTCCGAGTCCGGGTTAACCATGTGGTACTGTATGGGTAATTCTCTTACTAAGCTGTGCTGATTATGTAGTAGTAGTGAGCAGAGAGTGCCGCAAGCACTGGCGACAGTCTCAGTACGATTAGTAGATTACATAGTAGTCATATAAACGCCTATTGGAGTGGTCTGTACTGAGTCTGTCGTCACTGTTTGTAGTGGGTGATTGCATATATACGCTCATTAAAAAGCTACAGACCTGGGCTACCCAGCTGGACCACCCAGGCAGGCCTAGGCCACCAGAGTTGCCCTGCCCAGCCCCACCTTCCCGGCTGGACCACCCAGGCAGGCCTGGGCACCTAAACCACAACATGAATGTAATAATTTATGATATATCATATATCCGTTTTTGCCAGCAGAAAGCTCATGGGGGAGCACTTTTGCACCCACCAAGATGTTGACAAATCCAGCCTTATCTTTGAATTAAGTGGTCTCGCATTAGGGGTTGTGGAGGGTATAAACGGGGTTAAAGGGCTGTCACCAAGATGTATTATTATTCGAAGTGACCCTCAGCTAACGGAATTTTTTTTTTCTTTCCAATTTGGTAAACAATTTCAAAGTGACGGTCAGCTAAAAGAATTAGGCTTAAAAAAAGATTCACCAGCGACAACAGATAGGAGTAATGGTAAGTCACAGCCACCCATTTCTTGTTCTTTTCTCCCTTTCTGCTTACCGCTCACCGGGGAGTTCTCTATGAGTCTGACTATGTATATATAATCTACACATTCTATACTATTCTATAGATACAAATTTTAAATTATACACTCTGTGCTGGGGCTGCCCACGACCTTGCCCAGGTTCTTGCATGGACCCGGCCTGACCAGCCCACCCTGGCAGCCAGAGTCAGCCCAGCCAGCCTAGCTGGTAACCCAGGTTAGTGGGGGGTTAGGGTTACGTACGTTTACTACTTAGTTACTCTTAGGAGTCTGCGCTCATGGCCAGTCGATGCTTGGTGCAATGACTTGCTGTTTTCTGGTCCCTGTAGCCTCTCTCTGTCGAGGCTGTACTATAGGTAGGACAGATTCACAATTTTGTTTGGCTGAGGGCTAACCGAGAGACCTACCTGTGAGGACATTCGTGAGGGACATATCTGCAAATTCGGGAAATATGCAGTCCCGGTACTAACCGAATTCCCTACAGCTACCCTAACTGCGGATAGCAGGCCCGGGCTACCCCTAGGACAGACAGGCCCTAAGGGCCTATTCTGATAGACGGTCCTATAGCCTATAGCCGGGTCCGGTAGAGGCCGAGAGGCCGAAACAGAAACGGTACCGGTCGGTCAGTCAGTCCGGTCTAGGTTGAGTCTAGGCTAGGTTAGTCTATAGATAGGATGGGCACATCGGTTCAGGGCTTTTGGCAGTTGGTACCGAGTACATCGCTGCTGCGCTACGCGTGAACCGGAGGTGGTGACGGCTCAGCGTGGAAGGAGACAGGCATAGCCAGACCTTTGGAGCGCAGGCCATAGCTGGGACCTGCGCTGTACTCTGCCAGCACGCAGGGGCTGACAGAGGTCTGGGTTATCGAGGTCTGCTGGAGGCGAGAGAGATTGGTGCCCTGCTGGACCCTCCTCTGGAGTGGGGTTCCAGGGTGTTGGCGCTGCAGCCATAGCTGCAGCTTCTTCTCAGAGGTCATCTTGTCAGGGTTTGGTGGCGCTGCTGCAGACTTCCACCCGGGAAGTCTTCCGACGCTTCGTCATCATCAGATATTGTGGCGCTGGTCTTCTTCTTCATCCTCTGAGTGGCGCTTGGCCTCAGAGGCCTGTTTCAGGGTGGCGCTTCCCTCAGGAGGCTGTATCTGGGTGGCGCTTGATGTTTCAGGGGCTCAGGTGTGTTACGGGTGCTAACCAGGGTTGGGGAGTGAAGCGCTGCTCATTTCTGAGCAGCGCACTGTAGTACTGAAGTTATCCTGACAATTCAAGACTCTGAGTTTAATAAACAGTGTATAACTGGGTTTGGACTATCATCGTTTCATTCTTTCCTGGATGTGATCTGCTCAGCTTTTCTCTATGACTGGTTGTGAGGATTGAGTGGAGTGAATTGCACTTTCAGTGTACCCTGTCATATCGGATGGTCAAGTCTTCCGCTGTGTTTATCTCTCCCTGTGCAGTGTGAGACTGCTAACCTCTCCCCTTCCTTCTGTGTATGTATGGGCATACCTGGAAGTCTATGTGAGTGAGTGTTGGTCTTCAGACAGCAAACAACATAACATTGGAGTGGAGTCTCCCAGTTGCTCCTTGCAGGACTGGAAGGTTCAGCAAGGGGTCCAGTTTTTTTCCCAACAGGATCACTGAGGTCCTTTTCTTGTTTTGTTTTGAATCCTAACCTCACGTAAAATTTATGAATGAATGAACGACTGATTGTTGATTAGACTTGATTTGTTTTGTTCCCCGGACCGTGTCTTGATATGTGCGTGCGGGTCATCCTTGCAGCCATGCTAGCGCCTTCACCCGAATAGAAGCGCCCGGTCATTATAGCTGTATATATATTTGGCACAACTTTCGGTCCAGATGCAGCGATAATGACACCGGGCATTCTATTCGGGGTGAAGACGATAGCCTTTGCTGTTCCTTCCAATTTTGACGGATATCCCGGAGCGTATCGTTGCTTTTGGGGGGGCTGTATGATTTTGAAATTGTTTGTCGGACCGAAAAAGAAGGGGAGGGGGGGGGGGGGAGTTGGTTTGGGATTTGCAGGTGATGTATACGCTGCTGTGTACTATGGCATGCTATAATAGGCAATAATCTGGTGGTATTTTCTTGCTATGGATAGAAAACTTGAAGTTTGCGTGCAGCTGTGCTCATCTCTTTGGTTTGGTGTCGATGTGCTGGACTTGGTGGTGGTGATTCGTGATCGACGGTTCGTGATAGGCTCAGGGGGACGCCGCCGATGGAGCTGGGAGCAGTAGTCAAGCGGTGGGGTTTCGACAACTAACTGTTTCCCAGAAGGATAAGACACTGGATGAGCTTGTGAAGGAAGGATGGCTTACTCAGGATGATGACCAGCGACTCTCTCTTGGAGTTCGAACATACGCTGAGCTTCGGCAGTTTCTTGCTGCACTCGAGATACCATTGTGTGAGAACTGCCAAGAGGTGACAGTTAAGGTAATGCTACTTCGCTCACTTACGATTGTGACGGATGATGACTCTTAGCATTGTCCAATCCGGAAATCGAACGCATGTCGTCGCGCAAACACCTAACCGATAAGCTAAGTGGGCTGGGGTATGTGTATGTTTTCTATATGTGCACATGCTGCTAAGACCATGCTCTTCGCATGTCGAATCCGAGAATCGAACACGCAGCTAACGACTCCCACGCCATGCTCTCACTAGAACTATATGGGTATGTGTCTATCCGTCCATACTCTCTATGGCCAGCAGATTCGTTCCAGAAAGTATGTGTGGATGACCTGACATCTGTCTTTTCACGAGAGATAGCCCCGTGCTGACAAATTCCTCCTATCTTCTTCCATACAAACTTGTGCCTTATGAAACGGTATTCACCAATTCGTGGTAGCTGAGGTAGATCCCAGGACTCGATCCCTAGTTT